ATCTCGATTACACAGACAGATGTAAGCATCTATCTTTAGAACCTTTATGGCACCGTAGGCAAAAAACAATTTAATATTTCTCTACAAAGCGATATATGGGCTCTCCTTTCTAACCTCCTGCCCGACTATTACCCACGACCCAGCCTATAAACTTAGAAACAACGCATATACATTACTTACCGTAAAACACCAAAAACAAATGCGTTGTAAGTTCTTTACAGTACGGTACAGTTTATTGTGGAACAGGCTGCCAATGCCTATCCGTAACTGTGATACGTTTACGAGATTCAAAAAGCTAATAACCCTATTTCTAGACTCCAAAGATTTTCAACATTTCCTTGAACTCCCGCCCACCAATGAGGCACTTTATTACGGACCGCCTAGTATCTAGAAAGAACAAAATTATAACAAGTTCGACCGTTACTAATATGAATATAACCGAATCACAGAATATATATGGCTTATCCTTTCCTATTATTCATTGTCTATTAATCATGACTTCATGCTCCTAACCCTAGCTTTTAGTTCCCAAATCTCTACAGGTTAAATGTACATTATTCTTGCTAAAAGTCATGCTTTTTTTTCTACTGCAAGTAGACAGATAGCTCAATCTTATGAATGCTGATCTACTAAGGCCGATCATTCAAAGCTCAAAATTTGGCCACAAAGTATTGTGAGTTTCTCAATGTTTTATTTGTTTTACCCTGAAATCTTTTTTTCTACAATTTTATACCCTCTCATATCTTTTGATTTGCTATTAGTCCTTACTTCTTTAAACCATTAGTTGTTTTCATAGCAGTGTGATATACTATATGGACATCTAATCCATAAAACAGACTTTTCAACTATCTGATTCGCTTGTAACATGGACCTAGTTGAGACAGTGTATTCCAACTATGGGCTATGATTAAAGCAGTATTCATACTTACCACAAACGTAAGAGAGCCTAACATCACAAAAGGAGGGAGGGTGGCGTTACTGACCAGCAAACATGAAGGTGGGGAGATAACTTCAATCCACCCATGTCTGTAGGGCAGAACGTTTTGTTTATTATTATTATTATTATTATTATTATTATTCACAAACATCTTATGGGTACATAAGTGTTGTGAAGAAACCATTTCGGGTTTCTTCAGAAAATGCAATAATACACAATTTTCAATAATTTTAGCATTATACTTGCCATATTTAAAAAATAAAAAATAAATTAGAATAATAATAGTAGAATATTAATAATAATAAATCGGGTCTGTGTAATTGAGAAGAATATTGAATTGAGTTTAAAGAAGGAAATGGAGAAAATAAGGGAATAGAAATAAAGGAGACGTGAAATAAGCAAACAGTCTAATAGGCGTGTTTATGAACAGAGAAGAAAAAACGACCATGTGTGTATCGTTGAATTAGTAACAAAAAATAATTTATCGTTGTAGTAAGATATGACAATAGAATAAATGTTTGTGCGGTTATAGTTTAGAGTGATGCTATGAAAGTCACAATTAAGTGAAAAGGATAATAAAATATCACTCTGTATGAGTCATATATGCATAGTGAAGATAAAACTAATCTGAGAAGTTAATTTAAAGTGTAACACAAGTTATTGTCTTAATTACAAACTTCATAATCTTAAGAATAAGATTTATTTAGAAGGGAAGAAGAGAGAGAAAAGAAGTGAACACCTAGTGAAAAGGTTCATTCATGATAAGAATAATAATTGTGTAATGAATATCAACCTCAGAAGGAAACCAGCAATTGAAAAAATAAAAATCCTTTAAAGCACTCGAATGAATACATTTAGATTTATGTAATAGTATACAGAATGAAACCGGATATTAGTATAAATATTTGTGCAATAATAATTAAGATTGATGATATGAAAGTCAAAATGATTTCAAAGGACAATCTAGAGTTAAGTATGTTTAAAAGGATAAGAAGAGATAAAAAGAATACCTAATGTGTCGGGGAACTAATAATGACATTAATAACGGTAATAATGATAAACACGAACATAAGCAGATTTCATATATTAAGATAAATAAAAATAAAATAAAATAGACGTGAAAAGATTTAAAGGTTTTTACTTTGCTTTTCAAGCAATTAAATAGATGACGGACCTTGTTTGTATAAATCATTAATGAATACATTGATATTCAATAGGTGACATAATCCACTTTCGGAAAGAAAATCGTCAAGGAGACTTTTGAACCGGGTTGTAGTTTCACTGCAACGGAGGTTCACTGGCAGTCTGTTCCACATGGTTGAGTAGCGAATAAGGAAAAAATTCTGACGTAAGTTTGTGTGGGTTCTTGGAATCGCTAGAATGTTCTCCTTATTGCGTAGATTGTGGGATGATATTATAAGGTATGAAGGGGTGGATACCGATGAGTAGGAAATACCGTTAATGAGCCGGTAGATAAAGACAAGATTTAATTTGATACGTCTGATCCAAAGAGGTTCTAAGTTGAGTTGCTGACATCTTTGGTAATAGTCTTTGTTATCGGAATACCCCAGAACAGCTTTGGTGAACTTTCTTTGAACACCTTCAATTCTAATCAGATCATTATGTCTACAATTACTGTAAACTAAAATACCATATTCAAGAATGGGTAAGATACATTTTCTGTACAGTAACAATCTCGATTCGATATTATTGAAGTTTATCATTATCAATCCGATGAGCTTTCTAGCTTTGGATACTTGAGATATAATGTGTTCAGAAAAGTTCAGACTGTTGCTATATCTTAAACCCAGGTCACGAACAGTGTTGAGAGGTTTGAGTGTATGTGTCTGTACAGTCAGATTTAAGTTAAGACAGCGACCAATGTGAATAAATCCACTTTTGTCAACATTAAGTGACATATTCCACGAAATAGTCCATTCGTACAACTTGTTTATTTCCTCCTGAATTACCGCTGAAATATAGCTTTCTTTCACGGGAGAAGAGAATGAATAAACTACTTTCAGGTCATCAGCAAAAAGGAAAGGCTTGCCATACTGAAAGAGGGAACATACATCATTGATAAAAAGGAGAAAGAGTAGTGGACCAACCACACTTCCTTGTATAACCCCACTGGTTACATTTACAGGTTTAGAGTAGCAAGATCCAAAGCGAACGATTTGGCTACGTTCTTCTAAAAAAGATTTGAGCCAAGATAAAAGGGGATTCTGAATGCCAAATGAAGAGAGTTTTAAAAGAAGAAGTTTGTGTGAGACACTGTCGAAAGCCTTACTAAAATCGAAGTAAAGAATTATCACTGACTGACCAACATCTCTTCTCTGGGTAATTTGATCAAAAAACTCCAGGTGCGATGTGAAACATGAGCGTTTAGTCATGAACCCATGTTGGGAAGGGCTGATCAGACTAGCTGAAAGTAAAAATGATAGTAGCTGTTTGTGGATGATTTTTTCCATGGTTCTTGAGAGCACGGATGTCAAATTAATTGGCCTATAGTTAATAATATCACTACGTGGTCCTGTTTTGAATCTAGGGGTGATAAGGGATGTTTTCCATACAGATGGATAGGTCCCATATTCCATAGATAGATTGAAGAGTTTCAAACAAAATAGTGGAAATTCTCTACTTCCATATTTCACAAATGATGTAGGTATCCTGTCAGGTCCACCATCATAAGACTTTTTCAAGGAAGTTATGGCCTGCTTGATGGCGGAGGGTGTGAAATCAATTTTTGACAGATGTCTGGATGTTAGCATTGGAAATGTAATGCTGGAGCTTTCAGTTCCAGTTTTGTAGCACTGCGAGAAGTGCTTGCTGAATTGTTCGCATATAGTATTCGGGTCGTTAACAATGCTTCCGTTAACTATGAAGAATTTGGTCGTGCCAAGGGAATTTGATTTTACACGGGATTTAAAAAGTCGAAGTATTGATAATTCTGGGCTTTTACTACGTAGAGCTTTATTTTCTATATTCATGAAATACTTACGTTTAGATGAAGCATTTCTGTTGATTAATTTAAGTATACTGTGAAGTGCATACACATCATTCTGCTCATAGTAGCGGTATTTTAATTTCCTCAGCTTTCTTTTAAAAGTATTTTGGCCCCTATTAGCATTATAAGCCACACGGTCAATAACTGGAGCAGTGCAGTCAAGACAATATATCAGGTTGTGATATAGATTGGAAAGCGCGATGTCAACATTATTTGTGGTAAAATAAGTTTCCCATGGTAAACATTGAATGAGAGTTTCAGTCCGTTTCCATGTTTGTTGATCAAAATATCTGCTCTGGTACGTCATTGAAGCTTTAGAATTCGATTGTATGGCGTTTAAAGAGTGAATAATACTCAATACAACTCTATGGTCACTCATAAAAAACTCATGACTGGTATGCACTGAGATAGAGTCTATGTTGATTGTGAACATTAAATCAAGTGTATTATTCCCCCTGGTTGGTTTTCGGACCTGTTAAACCCATCCACAAATTTCTAATGTTTCAACTAGCTTGTTATATCGACCTGGTACCGGAGTCAAGCCCCATGTAATTTTTGGCAGATTAAAATCACCTCCGACGATTTTAAAGGTATGCGGTTGATGCGAAGCAATGGAAAATATGTTTGTTAGTAATCTGTCAAACTTAGTATCCGCATGAGGTGGTCTATATATGCATCTCACCAGTAAATAATTTTGAGATCCACAGTTTACAGTAACCCAAGTGGAGTCTTCTATAGCATCAAGGGATTTATCCTCAAATATGCACGCTTGAATGTCTGAACGGACATGGATAATTGTACCGCCTCCTATTCCATAACATCTATCGGTTCTAAAGAAAACGTAGTTATCTACATTCAAGGAATGATTGGATATAGATGAATTACACCACGTTTCCGTAATAAGTACAATGGTTGGATTTACAAGGAATAAAAGAGTTTTAAGATGAATGATTTTATTAGACAGAGAGCGGGCATTGAAAGAAAGAATAAGAAACTCAGAGTCATCATAGTGAAGCAGGTTAGAGTATAAATCGCAATTGGTAGTTCCATTAATACTCATAGGATTAGGTAAGGTAAGAGTTGTGTTGCGAGGGGAAATAGATTCAACCACTTTGTCATCATGTGAAATATGTTTACCGTTGCCGGCAGGAAAGCCGGCGGAATTACAAAAAAAGTTTTCTCACTGCTATTGGATATAACATCTGATAAGGGCATAGTGTACATATTGGGAGCCGGACCGAGCAGACTATCAGGTCTATGGTTTTGACCAAGTGGCCAATTACAATTCAGATAACTATTTATACCTGACGTATGGGTAACGTGTTTAAGACGTTTATTTCCAAGGTTTGTGATTGATTTCGGCTTCTTCATATGTTGGAGAGGATTATGCACTGTTAAACATACTTGCGATGGTTTGGGAGGTTCGAATATATCAACGTTAAGTTCGTGGTCAGTTATATGAATGTTATGATTAGTTTTCCTGTTATCCGTTGCACAGTTACTGTAACTGGGTGTTGCACTAACAGGGGTTTGGACTGTGTTATCCCATTCTTCATCAGCACAACTACTTCGGGTTGAATCTAAATCAACATTCTTAAGAGGATGGACACCACCTACATCGGGATTACTTTTTTCTCGGTTTTGAACTTTAGGAGATTCAGAAGAGTTTTTCGGTGGCGGCAAAATTGTTAAGCTAGACGTCCTCTTAGAATCGGACTTAACTTTACGATCATTAGGATTATGATGCGTTTGAGAGTTTGACGCTGGTGGTCTGTAGTTATCTCTTCCTGCTTTTCGCTGGCATGGTGTTTTATCCGGAAGAGTCTTAATATCCTTGAAAATCTGTTTTTGTCTCAATGAATTGGAGGAATTTAAAAATTCACTGGCGTCTACAGATGAGTTGAATTTGAACAAGATCGGTGAGTGCATACCAGGATGACTTCGTTTTAATCTTGTGCATACACATGGTACGTGTGTCATATTGCTGGCTCTAAGCAGACTAGATTTGATCTTTTTAAGGGCATGTGTATCCGGTATATTAAACACAATTGCATTACTAGATCGTCTTATTCTTTCAAATACCTCTGATGCAACACGATCTAGGAAAATATTTATGTCATTCATTTGATCTGGAATCTCTGTGAGGTTGGGGTTGATGAGATATTTAAGCGGATTGAGAATGTTCATGTCTACTTGCAACTTTTTTATAGCATCCATATGGTTGCAGTTGCGATTATCATCACTGTTTACCATCAGAGTTTTCAACATGTCTGGAATGGAGACAACTGGTAAACGCTTGTCTGCTTCCGGATGAACGGAGTGGCTCGTCTCGTTGAAACTGTTGGAAGTCGTGTCAGTAGTGGTGTTAAATTGTGTCGTTTTCCTACGTTTGGCTGAACGCCTAGAAGCAGGGGTCTTCATTTTATTTTGTGGCATAATAAGAAAGTGACGTATAGCAAGTGGATTGAACAGAATGTTGGAAACAGAAAGAGGTGAAAAAAATCAATTCCGAGGGCTCAAGTTAGTCTAAAAATCAAAATCTATGTTTTAACCAAGAGTCAATGTATCGTGAGGATTAGTGATGGTAAAAACAGATGACAATGGCAGGAAGATAGTAGTGGAGATGAAGTATTTGTCAGTATCTGTGTGGAGGCAAAATAGAATATAAAGGAGCAAGTTGTGTAAATTTTAACACATATGACATGAAAGATAGCCTTATATAGTAAAGTAATTTAGAAATGTCGATAATTAATATCAAACAATCAAAAAAAAGTACGGTACGTGGTACATATATAAACTGAAAGTCCGTATTAGTAAAAATTGGGAGGTGCAGAGACAAGTAGTTTAGAAGATTATTACCGTCTAAGATTATTATGTTGCTTCTTGAACAAATATATGGAACAGCTTTTTGGAAAAAAAAGTACTGTCAAAAAAAACTGTGACAGACTCACCGAATTGGACAGATAGCTTCGGAAATTAAATGATTTATAGTATCCAAATACGATTTAAATGACAGTTCATAAAATAGTGAATACAGTCTTTTAACATACACGGTTATATATATTTCTTGATATTAGGTAGAGGTTTGAATAGATCCGAATTGGACAGGTAGCTTCGGAAATTAAATGATTTATAGTATCCAAATACGATATAAATGATAGTTCATAGAATAGTGAATACAGTCCTTTAACATACACGGTTATATATATTTCTTGATATTAGGTAGAGGTTTGAATAGATCCTGTAGATACATAAAGTACGTGGGTTAAAGCATTCAAATACGATATAAACATATATTCCTTAAGGAATAGAATACAGATATGAAATGCAAATCTTCGTCAAATATGCTTATATATGGTTTCAAAGTGACAGAGTATAGTTTGATCGTATAGTCAAAATGAATATATGTAATTATATAAATATGAATTATTCTATGAATATGATCATAAATACCGTAAGTTAAACTCAGAACTTATCATATGGCATGGAATTCACAGTTTATATGTTAATAGTTGAGAATTGAGTTAACTTCCATTATTCCAAGGAAAAATAACTCATCCAGCTCTGCGAGAATCCTAGAAAAACAAAACTAAAAACCTCGACGTGAAAGTAACGTCCAGTCCGTAGCGCACGGCTCCTTATGGTATAGTGGGATGTCACGAACTTATGGTATTGAAGCTGATCTATTCACGCAAAATACCTCTTTAAATCGTGTTACGAACGTTGAATTGGTTTCACTTCCTACCCAGAAACCCTATTACAAGCAAACCAGATAATTCGATAATATACGAAGGCTACTCAAGACCCTATAATACCTGAAAAAAATAATAATACAAAAAAAAACAAAAGGGGCTCTAATAGCTTCGATAATAAAAGGAAGACAGCTAACTGTATATCACAAAAATGCCATTTCTTAACATATACCTTAATAAAGGAAAATTAGACCGAGTAATCATACCTTAAACATTCCTTCATGAATATATATTCATGGATAGAAAATGGGGTGTAATGTGTGTATTTAGGCGTATATGCGACTAATCAGCGGATTTTTAGGCGAAAATTCGGCGGATATTTATGCGAAAACGCGACAATTCGGCGGATATTTATGCGAAAACGCGACAATTCGGCGGATATTTATGCGAAAACGCGACAATTCGGCGGATATTTATGCAAACACGCGACAATTCGGCGGATATTTATGCAAACACGCGACAATTCAGCAAATATTTATGCGAAAATGAGACAATTCGGCGGATATTTATGCAAACACGCGACAATTCGGCGGATATTTATGCAAACACGCGACAATTCGGCGGATATTTATGCGAAAACGCGAGAATTCGGCGGATATTTATGCGAAAAGTGGGTAATTTGTCGACAAAAAGGCGAAAAAGGGGAAATTCCGCATTATTTCCCCCGGACAGGCGAAAAAGGCGACATTCTGGCGCGTTTTCTCCTTTATTTCCCCTTTCGCCACCAAAGCATTTACCCCTTTATTTCCCCTTTTTTCCCCATTATTTCCCCTTTTTGGGTTGTCTGGGATTGGCTACTCTGCCTCTCGTGTTTTCTTTTACTCGCTCCCTTTTTCAGCTTCTTGTGATATGGAACAAAAAATTTCATCCTGCACCATCCTCAAAGCCTTAGACTTTCCAAAGGGACATAAGTTTGCGATATTTAGAAGCTCCCACCTTCAATGGACCTATCCTTGACCATCAGTCACACATTCGCAACGCGACTTTTATGAAGCGCGCCAATTGTGACACTGACTGAAACCATCTACATTCATATCTTACAAATTATCAACTCAGCTATGTAATTTACTGCAGTGAATATTGTATCATTTGTATCAATTTGATCTTGCCTGTAAACTGTCATGCCTCATGTAAGAAACTGTTATTCGAGAATCAATTATTATTCTTATGCCTTTTTTGAAACAATAAAAAGTGTGTCATACTGTCCTACGAGTACATAAATCTATTCATCAACTCTCCGGTACATCTGCACGAATGTACTGTCATATATTTTCATCGATTTTACTATTTAAAAAACAAACTTGGAAAACACCTTCTCTATCAACCGACGTTGTAAATTACTGATCATGCATTTACGAATGGTGTGCGTCTGCTCTGTTAAATATGTAATGTTATATTTATAACAACCGTTGCTCCGATTAAAATATCGATAACCATACAAACTCTCCAGTGTTTGCATCCGTATAAAGAGTATGATAAAGTGTTTGGTTGTTCGTATAACTGCTCAGTAAAGTCCTTCCTGCGGTTGCTTTAACAACTATCTAACAATGTTGACTCGGACAAAAATAAATTTGCACTTTTGCAGATGTTTGTCGAGTTATACCTAACAGCTGTGTTCACGCAGAGGTATGGGTTTCATCTATCACAGTTTGTAATAAACAGCTTACGAAACGTGATACACCACCTGATGTTCCTTCATTAGAGTTAACCGATTTTACTGGTAAGGTTAGAGTCGTATCAAACAATAATCCAGTCGATATGCAGCCGATATCATCTTTGACATTTAGGTGAATTCCACTGAGTACAGTCACCCCGTATTTATTTGTCAGCCTGTGTCAATAGTAAGCAGTTGAGTTCGTGGTGAAATCGCATAACCGAGCTATTTGTTACCAGATGGTTCGCCGTTGTTTTGATGTGGTTTACTCCTAAACGTTTGGTAAACTCCCGAAATGGGACGGGTTGAAACTTGGGACTGCGATCTGTGGTAATGGATAGATAAACTTTACAGTACTATATACATAGGTCAAGAAATACAGACGCTACTTTCTCTATTGATGTATCTTCAGTGTGGAATGTTATCAACCATCTGTTAAATTTATCCACAACAGTAAGGATATATGTGAAAGACACTTATGGTAAAAGAAAACCAACGATATCTAGAAGTACATGCCAGGAACGTCTCTCAAGTAATGGAAACTTTCCTAGAGTGCTAACTGTATGTCACTGAACCTTGCTGCGTTGGCATTGAATAAAGTTTTGTTTCCGCCTTCCTACATCCGAATTAATTTATGGCCAAAACAACGTTCTGTGATGACTTTTGAGGTAACTCGGATCCCACAATGTGATTTATGTACCGAATAATTAATAGTGGTTTCAACATTTTCCTGAAGTGGCTTGATACCCTGTGCGTCTATATGGTGTCCCGGAAATTTCATAACTGTAACGTCAAGTATAGAATTTAAAAGATCAATCACAACTCCATAAATTTTGAACAGATCGAAGAAAATGCACGAATCCTGAACATGTACATGTTCTGTGGATGAGGTGGCGATGAAAACGTCATCGATATAAATAAATACTAAGTCTAAACCTCTGATGACCTCATCCATGTATCACCATAACGTTTGAGCAGCAAGTTTTAAGCCAAACCTATGTTAGTGACTCTCACAATATTACGGAATATTGTTGCTATAGTGGAACAGAACAGTCGAAACTCGAGCTCCCACTTTTTAACGGTTTCAACATTCAATAAAGAATAGTAGGAAATATAATATCTACACAAAACAAGGAAGTAAACAGACGTCTGAGCTATAATGCTTTGATAATAAAACGGTTTTTCAGTAAACTTGTGACCAACCAAGACTGAAGATAGTATCCAACCATTTGCAAATAATTTAAAAAGGTTGTATTCAGCCAGATATGACATAGAACTAAGTGTAAATCCAGCCACTTCCCAATATGAGAACCAAAACGAAATGGAGCCACGAATAGCTGTATTCACATACTATTAAGAGATCATGAATACTATTGCGGTCGGAATATTGACGTCCTCGCGGATGACGGAATATAGCCTAATCAGATATCCCAACTATCAAACCAGAATTAATGAACGAATATTGGCATAAGAATCTGTTTATTCAGCAATTACAGCAAGTCTATTAACCGATGCAACAACATTGACACGATGTCAATTACTGTTGTCTAGACAAAAATGTTACGAATGAATGTCTCTCATTCTTTCGTTGAATATTCTTGATAATTCTGATGTCAACAACAGAATGTTGATTCAACGCCACACACACGAACAAGGTACTGTAGCCGGAAAATGGAATTTCAGCACGACTAAATGAGATAAGTGACTCGATACTTGACAATAGTGATGATTGAGGTTTACTAGAGCTTCACGGAAACAGTATAGCATCCAGATTGCGATGATTCCACACCTTACAGTTACCACTTGATCTGGATTATCCAAAAGTGACAAGAAGATTAATCTACTTCCAAAAAGATCAAAATAAATCATTACTCTTAATGTGCAACAGTGTAAGTAAATGCGAAGAGGTTGTAAAAGTAAAAAATGGAATCAATGCTGAGTGCGTTTGTCAATGACGTGTAATTTACAGATGGACGGCAACCATCTTTGATGATATTCTAAAACCTCTTCAACAGTCAGTGATCTGTAAT